ACCCACATACACACACAAAAAAAACCAGGGGGGGTGGGGAAGAAGATGTAACAACTATACTTTTATGAAGTTGTTACAACAAGCAAATGGAAAGGACATTCTTGGGGGGGAGGGGAGAGAGGGAGGAGGGAGGGAGGTGTCGGTGATGGGCCATAATAATCATATACATTGTATATTGACAAAATAAAAATTTAACGAAAAAAAAAAACTTGAAAACATCTGAATAGATTTCTTTAAATGCTAACTTTTAATTCAGACACTTGCCATCCTGCAGACAATGCCATTTGGTCTCTAAAACACAGCAAAGTGAAAATGTGGTGATTATTCCATTCATTTAAATCATATAAAAAGTCAAAACAGCAAATTAGGACTACAAAGTGTTTTCATGGCCTAAATGCTTGGGCCTACTCTTTAATTAACTGACTGCCAAAATTCATTTATTTTGTTCTTTGATGACACAGCCAATGAGAACAGATGAGACATAAGACGATAAGGTTGGATGGGACAGAGAATTATTTTTTGAAATTAATAATGTAGTCTTTGGATTTTGACTGGTGGTTTCTGGCTTAAATTAAATCCTTTCATATTCTGAATATACTTGTTTCATCAAATTTTAATTTGCTTTAAAAGAACACATGCATCCAAGTTAAATATGAAAGTGTCTGGGATTTTTTAGAACAATATTTAAAAGTGATCAATCAAATCTTGACTGAAAGTCAATTGCTCACATTAACAGCACGAGGCATTTGAGAGTCCATGTAGCAGGTGAGAAGTGCCCACTGATCTTGCAGCCTGAGCAATTCCCAGATGCATGTGATGAGAAGGAAGGCAGGGAACAGTTGCGTGGGGTCACGGTGACTGTGTTATCACCCAGACTTTAATCACCTAGGGAGGGAACTATCAAAAGCATGTGATGACCCAGTTCCAGCCTGAGTACAATAACCTTTAAAAAGTAGTGCATATCACAAAATAAGGATCAATAAGTGTAAGATTAAGAGGAGCTGTTAACAGACTCACTAAATCACATGGTGAGAAAGGTGGAGATGAAATGGTGCCATGTCAGCCAACAGCAAATCAAGGGCCCTTTCCCTTGGGAAAATGTCAGCTGTGTTCATGGTAAACAGATTAGCACAGGACGGTGCTTAAGAGCAAAGACTTTGGTGCAAGGCTACCAGAGTTCAAATCTTGGCTCTACCACTTATTAATTTTGTCACCTTGGGCAATTTACTTAACCACTGTCTATCTCAGTTTCTCCATCTATAACATGGGGCTGGTTATAATCACTACCTCACAGAATTGCTATCTGGTTTAAATTAGTTAATATTTGTAATGCACACATATGTAAGTACTCCAGAGGAGTTTATTAAATAAAGAAATAAACAATAAATTGCGCCGAATCAAGCAGAAGGCAGGGAACTGTAGGGGTGGCCCAATCACACTTCCTAGGCCGACTGAAGCCTACACAGCTGTACCTGTTTAACACTGGATCTATTTAAAAACATGCTCTCTATCTGACTTGGTATAGTGTGTGTAGACAGCAGAAGAGAGACATAACAGGGAGTGATTCCTGGGAGAAGGAAGAGAATTCAAAATAGAAATGCTTGACTTTTGTCAAGTTACAGATATGAGGGTACTTGAAAAAGTTTGTGGAAAAATGAAACTAAAAGATAATACAAATTCTTCCATGAACTTTCTGAAGACCCCTAGTACATGCTTGCACACTGCCCATTTTAACTCAAGAGTCTTCCATGTAGGGGTACTAAGAAGTTTTTTGATTTAAACATTGTTTCCCAAAATATCAAAAAATATCACACATTGTGCAGTTACTATGTAACATCTTGCCCTTAGTCAATGGGGTTTATTAGTACGAAATGCAGAAAGCAAAAGCGGAGCTTCTTAACCATTAGGCTCTGACTTCTTCTTGGCTTAGCACAACAATGGCTTATTTCTCACTCACATCATAACATTCGCAGGTAAAACTGCTCTCCTTGGTGGTTCTTCTCTAGCTGATGACTTGGGACCCGGGCTTCTTCTGTGTTGAGAAACTTGTCTTAAACCTGTGGTCCCTAAAGTTTGCCACAGGAGAATAGAGAGGCTCTGCCTTCTCTAAGTAAGTTAATTCACATATTTACTCCAAAGCAAAATAAGAAAGTGAGGAAAGATATATAAAATATCATCTCAGCCCTAACAATGCCTGCAGCCCCAAAGAGCAGTAGGTATAATATGCTCCTTGGGCCCTGGAGTCAGGCAATCTAGGCTGGAGTCATTGGGTCCTAGGGCCACATGTGGTCCTGCATATATTGGGTCCTTAATAGATACTTGCTGAATTTAACAAATGAATTAAAAATAATCATAACAAAACATCCTGAATCTGTCCCTTACTAGCTGTGTAATTTTTACCAGAATCCATTGTAACTTTGCTCATTTGCCAGTCTCCCTTGAGAATTACCTCCGAGAAAGGCTGGGAGGAAGAAAGGAACATGGGACAAACATAGGAGGCAGCTTAGCAGCAGGGCAAAGGACAGATTATCTCAAAGTAACCCTTTCTTAAGTGGATTTATGGGTGGGTGGTTGTCTAACGAATGCTACAAAAAGAACTGTGAGGACTTCATTAGGACCAACAGGCAGGAGGAGAGGCTCTGTGTCACAGGAACAGCTCCCAGCAAATCCCGTCCCCTGGCATTTGTGCCCTTGCGCAGCTTCTTTCCATGTGGACTCAGGGCTTGGCCATGTGACTTAGGTGGCCAGTGGGACATCAGCAAAGAGATGCAAGCAAAGGCTTGAAAGGTGCTTGTGCATTGGGAGCGTTCCCCCTTGAGATGCTGTTCTGAGATCACCAAAGGGTGAAGAAGCCCAGGATGAAAGGCCATGTGGAGCAAGAGGTACAGCAGACCCATCAACTCAATGCAGCTGCATGAGGGGCCCAGGTGAGGCCAGCAGAGGAATGGCGTAGCCCACCCACACAGTCTGGGAGATGATAATTGTTTTGGACCACTAAGTTTTGCGTGGTTTACGACACAGCAAAGGCAAACTAACGCTATCCCTATCCCAAACGATAAACCAAATCTTGAAGCTTTTAAAAATGCAATCTAATCTAGAGCTGCAAAGTCTGATTTGCATCTCACATGTTGGTGACATGGAGATATGTGACAGCCAGAAGCAGGGGTGTTCTGTAGGACTGCCCCCATGCAGAGATGGGACTTTCCACCTCTCCCACTCTGCCAATCTCTGACTTTCATAGTAGGTAAATAATCACCACCTTTTAGTCTGCTTCCTCCCTGCTATCGTAAGTAAAAAAATGTTAGCTGTCTCTCATAAAGTCTGCATTCTTTGGACAAAGTACAATATTTAAGTGGTTCCAAGGGAAAAGTTTACCTTTTGTAAGCCACTGAGCATCAAATACCAATTATCTTAGGCCCAATGCCATTAAAATAGCACTTCAGAGGGAATAAAAAGCTGCTTTTTATTTGACTATATAATGGTAGTGTTCTCTCTTTTTAGTTGACAGAAGAAAAAATGCTTAATGTTGAAATAATACTTGATCTAAAGCAACTAAAATTCTGAGCAACTGAGCCAATAACCAGAGCCCTGAGGGCAGGGATCACAGAAGCAAGAAGCATTGATAATTGGGGACTTATCGCTGCTTGAAGAGGAGGATTGATAGAGTCCAGGCTGGCAATCCAGGGCTAACATTCCTTTGGCTCCCTGGTCACAGTGTGTCCCAGTCTTCTTCAGTGCTGCTTAGCAACACCAGCCTGGCGAGAATCTGACAAGTCCCCGGAAAATAATGGCTCACTTAGAGACTCCTGCAATTAGTAATTCCACCTAGAAGGAGCTAGCATCTTTGCCCTAAGGGATTCGTGTTCTTAGTATAGTTGCATCTTATTTATGGACTGACCCTTTCCTAAAGCTTTTCATGTGAAGAGGAAAATTAAAGATATATGATCAAAAGCATTCCATATTTTAAAGATAGGTACAAATAATCATAAGCTTTATTTCCAGTCTCTCGCGCTCTCACTACCAGAAGAGGGTCCTTCTCTTATTATGAACACAATGAAGGAGAAGAAAACAGCCAGCCCAAGCTCATCCTTTTTATAGGCTTAGCAGAGGCCATTTGCTATTTTAGTTGATCCTAAAAAGGGATGTATTCATCATGAAAAATCTGAGGGAAGCTTGATGAACTACCAAGCTCATCCTTTTTATAGGCTTAGCAGAGGCCATTTGCTATTTTAGTTGATCCTAAAAAGAGATGTATTCATCATGAAAAATCTGAGGGAAGCTTGATGAACTATATAGCAGGGAAACAGCATCTGTTACGACATGAAATCTGCTCAGATACTGTAAAGCTACTGCTTACTTTCCAGCTTCTCTTGATACCTCTACACCAACCAGTAGATGCAACTCTTACTGTAGAAATATACACTGTTGATGAAAAATTCTGGAAGGAGATCAGAGCAATAGCACAAACATAACTGTATTTCAGTGACCCTCCATAATGCCAAAGCGGTGATTTCCTCATTGCCAGCCTAGTGAAGTTCTGTAGTTGGTCACAATTTCCTCAGCAACTACTTTGTAATGTCAAAATGGTTCCCCAGGGCACATTTCTTGATCTGATGCTAAAAATCACCCGAAAACAGGGCATTTTGCCCTTTTGACTCCATAAAATGATCTCTGAAGTAATGGTTTGAGGTACTGCTACTGGATTTATATTTGCAATTTTACTCCCAGATTTAAAAAACTGTCAGTTAGGGTGCACTTGATTGGCTTCTGGGATGCCCCATTCATTTGTTCATTCATTCATTCATTCATGAGTCCCCACTGATTCTGTAAAAAGCTACTGAAAAACTAAAAAGTATGTGTGCTGGCCCATCAAAGCTTTCAGACCAGATGGAAGTCAACATGCCTCTGAAGTGAAAAAAGCACAGACATTTTTTAGGAAAGCAATCATGACAAGGGTGGGTGGGGCTTTTCCTTCACTTTCACCACCTTCCTCACCGTACCTTGCTCTGATGGGTTGAGATCCTAGCCTCGGTCCCAGAGCACTGCCATTCCCAGGAGAATTCTTTCTGGCTAATGCTGGGGATATAGAAGTTGTTCTTTGAGGCACCTGGAAGAAAACAAGAATTCAGAAATATTTTTCATAAAATAGCTTCCATAGGCTACTGTCTGAAAATCCTGCTCCTTTCCAAAGATTTGCCAGAAGTTACAGAAACTATGTGAAACCAGGAAGAACTATCTTTCATTCCTCACAGAAATATTAAATTCCCTAAACAAAATCAATTAAGGCTTTACTGGTAAAAGGCAATGAGGTGCATTCAGTGACCATTAAAGAGGTTCATCCTCGATCATAGACACAAATTTAAAGACAGACTAAGCTAATCAGTTTGATCCACTGGGCTAAAAATAATTGACCTCCCTTGGTTGGGCAAGGGTAGTGAATACTAGAAATGTCTTTGGGGTACCAGTAAGCCATTGGAAGTTGCATCAGATGACAGTCACCAAGATAAAGTCAAGCCCCATTTTTAGTTCACATCACAACTGCTAAACAGATAAGGAACTTATGAAATCTAGTGAGAAGCTAGGATATCAGGCTAGGACTTGGGACATAAATCATATGTCAGTGAGTTCAGAGAACCTACTGCAATAGATCCTGATGTTCCCACTTCCTCATCAACTTGTAATTTCTAATTAAAACCAAAAACCCAAACACTGTGGTTCAGAAGGTCAATTAGCAAACATAATACAAAACAGGTTTAATAATGAGAACACTGAAGAGTCTTCCAAAAGCCTAAGTATCAACAAGACTGTGAGGTACGGTAGGAAAATGTATTATTAGTTTATCTGGCAAAAACCTTGGTTAGAAGTGAAGTACGCCTCATTTTATAAAACACAGACAGTTTTCAATGAAATCAAATATTGTAGGTGTGCCAAAGGAGTTCATTATTTAGAAGAATCATGTTATAAATCCTAGTACAGAAAATTACTTTTAATGTAAAGTATTATCTTTTCTCTGCTTTAAAAAATTAATTTTTATTGTAATTCATTTTAACATAAAGATGCATCATGAAGTGAAGCAGAATGACCATGCCAGTGCTACCACCTGTTCAAATTAAATATCTCTACTACTATTTTTCCTTTTTCTTTTTGTAAATGTAAACGGTTGCAGAGAAGAAACAGCCTAATGAATTATGAAAAAGTCTTTGAATTGATCTAAACTCTCTCCCAGCTTTGTACATGCATGCCCACCACCTGTTCAAATTAAATATCTCTACTACTATTTTTCCTTTTTCTTTTTGTAAATGTAAATGGTTGCAGAGAAGAAACAGCCTAATGAATTATGAAAAAGTCTTTGAATTGATCTAAACTCTCTCCCAGCTTTGTACATGCATGCCTGCGTGCTTTACATAGTCGACCAATAACTTCCATTTTCAGTTTTTCCATCTACTGTGTCTGTGCTTCTGCCCACCTTATTTTCTATATTGAATTTTGCTCCCTAAGTAATTTTTTCTGATGGCATTTCTGCTTCCACAGAGGAGAACATCAACAAACAAAGCCATTACTGACTGTTTTCATTTTCAAAATAATGGAATTCTTGTTGTAATATCCTTTTGAGAAGAAAATGAGAAAAAATATTTGTAAGTCACGGAGTAAAAACTATTATTTTTTCCTGCAATTATCAACGGTATTATTTCCTGAAAATAGTGTGACATTCCATTTGCCACAGCCCCTCTGAGCTCAGGGGAATGGGTAGAAATAATCTGATGCAAAAATTTCTCCAGTGTTTTAAAATACTTCCAGGTTGGCTGCAGCCAGAAGCACAGCCACATTCCAGAATACTTCTTGGAATGAGTAATGAGTTAGCATAGGAAAACAAGAGAACCCAAACTCAGGACTGTTCTGTCCAGTGAGTTGGCTGGTCATTTTACCCTAAAGTCATATCCTCAGTAATGAATTAAGACTGAAAATAAATTATGACTTGGACTAGAAGGAGCGTTCCTTGAATGGGGCTAACTAAAATATCCTAAGAGAAATACTATCTTCTGAATCCCTCAAATCTGGTTTTACTTTTTGGTGTTAAAAATAGGCATAAATGAATTCTCTACTTTTTATTTGGAAGTTTTCAATTTGTCTATCCATAGATTCAGTAATCGACAAAAATGTCTATTATTCCATTTCTTACTATGGATAGTAAAATAACAATTTGGAGTGCCTCGGGTTGAAAGTTCTAATTCTGGATATGTGATATACGCTTCCAAGTCATTCAATTTACTTGAGCTTTAGTTTCTTGGGGAAAACGAAGGTCAGAAACAATAAATGACAATTCAAGTCTTAGGTTGGAAGAAGGAGAGACCAAAACAAACATGAGAAGGGAAGGTGCTTTGGCATTATCACGTTCTTCATTACGAAAGGTCTGGAATAGTGGTGATAATAACAAATGATGATGACGACCATGATGACAAAAACAACCCAGTAATATTACCTTTGGTGGAATGTCTTCTTCCTGTCGTAACCAAGAGCTTCGGTCAAACTTTTCAATGCGAGTGGGGAGAGGAGGGTTTTCAGAGGTGGGATCTGAATTCTGGCGTGGCATCTCGACGCGGTGAGAGGTCACATTCAGAGCCTCCTGGAACCCAGACAGGCCCTTTGTGGGCTGCTCGTGCACTGACTGGGAGGCTGTCAAGGCAGGTCCCTGGGATTTTACAGCCACCAGATGTGGGATCTAGCATCAAACCAACATTAGGCAGCATTATTAGAAGCAGCAGCAGATCAGCTCATATATCAATCAGCTGAAGGGAAAAGAAGCTCCAGGGCACAAGAACTGGGCCAGAGCCCATCACAGCCACCTATAACATGCTTTTGACCACTCTTCAAAGTTTTCCATTTAGAGCAATGTGTAGGGCTGACCTGGAGTTCCTAGCAAAAAGTTAAGTGATTTACTTGAGACTGCTAAGAAGAAGAAGCTCCAGGGCACAAGAACTGGGCCAGAGCCCATCACAGCCACCTATAACATGCTTTTAACCACTCTTCAAAGTTTTCCATTTAGAGCAATGTGTAGGGCTGACTTGGAGTTCCTAGCAAAAAGTTAAGTGATTTACTTGAGACTGCTAAGAAATCAGTGGAATAATGCGATGATAACAATAACTATATGTAGTGAACATTTATGGACCAGCAATATAATTTATTACAACACTTCTCTTCTAATATTACAAACTTCCTCCTTTAAAACCCCTAGCTTTGACTTTAGGGAGTGCTTTGCTCTGTAAAACAAGAACTGCTCTCAAGATCTCACTTGTTATGAACTCACTGAGTCCACTGTGAGGTGGACACGGTTATTCCCCTCATTTTACACATGAGCAATGCAAGGTACAGAGAGCTTAAAAGACACCCTAGATTTCACAGCTGACACGTGCTGGAGCCTGGATTGGAACATAGACATTCCGCACCCACAGCCATATGCCTAACCTCTGTGATACCTGCTTTCTGCTATACTGCCACTTATGGTATGACATATCCCTTGACACCAAGACATTTGTTGTAGAGTCTCACAGTTTGGCATGTGGTGATATTGTTCATGCAGGAAAGACATGCAATCTTTCAGTGAAATAAAGGCTTTTTAAGACAACTCATTAAAATCCAGAGTACAGGGTACTCCTTTACCATAACACTGCTCATGCTTTATTGTTGATGCTTATGTAAGCCTGTGACCTCCTACATCAGGAAGGTAGGCTCTGTGGAGACAGAAGCTGAGTCTGCCACCGTCATTGTATCCCCGAGTACCTGGCATGTGGTAGGTGTTCAATAAATCCTCTGTGCCTGGCATGTGGAAGGTGTTCAATAAATCTTGGCTGAGAAAGAAATCTAGGGTGCTTTCTAAATTAAATTGTTACTTCAACATTTATTTAGTATCTGCTTTGTACAAGGACCTATCAAGCACTCTTCGATCTGAAATTGCAGCGTTGGAATGTTATTAATGACAATTCAGAGGAAATTCTCAAAGCCCAGTTCAGCTGAACGTTATGCTTCAACCAGAATAGAAAGGATAGAATTTATATTAATGTTAAATATCATGAATACACTGAATAATAGTATTAAAACAAAGCACATTAAAAAAATCTAGTACAAAACACAAACCCATTTTAAAAGAGCCAAAAACATAAAAACAAAAACTGATGTGCCCAAAGATGCTTAATCCAATTAGCTGTCACGGAATATCTACATTTTTATTCCTTAGTCACTCCCAAAAAGTAAGTTTTCTCTCTACTTTCCTTTTACAGGGCAAAAGTACACTATAAGGTCAAAGTTTAGAATTTTAAAAGAGGACGTTTTACCTTAAAAGATAAGTTTTTGTAAAAATGTCTCCTTTTGAGGGCTATATACTCTTACAAAGAATTATATACTTGTACAAATTAAAAACAACCAAGGAGAAGATATGCTAAGGTGTCCGGTACTGAAAAATCTTGGTTCTCATTTTTTAAGGGCAAACTTAAAACACAAAGAATACTTGATTTTATCATTACTCTTTAAACTCCAGTTCAAACAGCATTTCATATTTCAAAGGTGACCTCGAAATATTTTCTGGAAGTCTTATCACAAATGGTTGCCTGGAAAAAATTTAAGACATTTGGGTGAAAAAAGCTGGATTACCTTTATTTTTTTAATGGAATTTCATAATGTTTTCATTCCACTTCATATTTCACTTTTGGTATATATAATTTAAAGTCCTGTAGAGCTTCCAGAAATTTCCTCCTTTCCTAAAGGCGGAGTAATCTTTTTCTTTACCAAATACAGACGTTTCTGACTTACAATGGTTCAGCTTACTATTTTTGACTTCATGATGGTGTAAAAGTGATACACATTCAGTAGAAATCATACTTCAGGTACTCATACAACCACTGTTTTTCACTTTCAGTACAGTATTCAATAAATATCCAACACTTCATTATAAAATAGCCTTTGTGTTAAATGGTTTTGCCCAACTGTAGGCTAATGTTACTGTTCTGAGCATGTTTAAGGAAGGTAGGTTAAGCTATGTTATTCGATATGTTAGGTGTATTAAGTGCATTTTGACTTACAATATTTTCAACTTGCAAAAGGTTAATTGGGATGTAAGTCAAGGAGCATATTTAGCTTAAGACAGTGGTTCTCAGATTCTAAAGTGCATGAGTCACCTGCAGAGCCTGTTAAATCACAGACTGCCAGGCCCCACCCCCAGAGTTCCTGATCAGTAGGGGCTGATCAGCAGGCCTGAGATTCTGCATTTCTACCAAGTTTCCAGGTGACACTGATGCTGCTGGTGGTGACCACACTTCAGGAACTACTGGCTTATGGTGCTCATTCTTGCTTCTCCTGCTTTTCTCTCCCCCTGCAAGCCTCTCCCTCCCTGGTCATTTCATTTCCTTGTTGTTCCCTTTCTTCCAGAGTCTCTCTCAGCCCAGTGCAGATAACTGATTTCCAGGGCTTCACAGGGAAGGCTCACAGGACCAATGAATGCTGTTTTTTAACAGGTAAAAATTACCCTTAGTACATATTTACAGCAGACAGACGGTCACAGCAGACAATTTTAAAGGGAAATTGAAACAAAAAAGACATACACTATAAGACAGACAATTTCAAGAGGTCCAGGACTTTTCTTCCAGATTCATCTTGTCCTGTCCTTTATTTCTTTAGGGTCAAGTGAACTGTTTTGCTTCCTAAACCCACCAGGGCAATGAAACCACTCTACCCACCATGATGACCCTTTAGAGTGAGTCCTTAATTCCCTTCTGCTGACTCACTGTCTGAACATTGTAGAAGCTCATGGCAAGATTTGTATTGGCTTTCAATTCTATTTCCCCATGAACTTTTTGAAGTATCCTCATACGCAGGATGTATATACATATATATATATATATATATTTTTTTTTTAAACTTATATTAACCTCAAATACTTCAACATGATAAGATAAGCTGCAAAATAGAAAACAGCCTCCTGCCTCTACTGAGGGGTAATTTGAACATCTCTTCTCCCATCATGGCTGTGTAGGGTACATACAATTGACATCCAGTTGACTTTGCTTTTGAAATTCCACGTCCCAGAAGCTCACCACATACCAAGTAAGATTAGTTGCAAATAGCCAGGAATAAAAAACAGAACATGTATACTTTGTGTGTGCATATGTGCAAAGTATTATATCACCAATAATTATTTGGCCATTGCATCAAGCAGAAGAACAAAGCCAGCTTTGAGATAAGACAACAAAGAAAAAAAAGTCCTGCAAAGATAGCATTAGATAAACTGAGGCCAAGGCATTCAATGTACTGCTTTTCCAAATGCCAGACTCATTTAAATAGAAGACGAATATTTCTAGACCACTGGAATTTGTCACATATTAGTTATCTTTTTATCATTAATACATAAATCATATGAACAAGCATCTTGATGTCTGAGCTCAGGAACCCAAGACTCAGACACATTTTCAGATAAATATCTGGCCATCCAACTTTAACCTCTTGTCACTTCAAATTCAGGAGTGAGAAATACCTGTACTTACTATTATTTTTAACTGTAAAATATACTGACAGTTTTAAATACACATTAAGAGACAGCACATTAAAAACAACAATAGAAGATTCTGCCCCCAAAGCTCCATCTTGAGCAAAGAAACCATTTTTGAGATAAAGAATTATTTTGGCAATTGTCAGCAACAAGGCTCCAGTAAAGCAAACATCCCTGCTGCTAACAGAACCACAGGCCACGTGGGGCCCTAAAACTGTCATTATAAAATAACAGGGAAGAAAGTGGGGTACTGATTTGCATAGGTAAGTTAATGCATTTGATTAGTTGTGTACAGATGTTACTAAGGCACTTCTAATAAAATTTCTTAAGCTTTCTTTTCTTTTAGTTAATTAATTCCTTTTTAAATTTGGCATGTATTGATTCTACATATTTATGGGATACAGAGTTATATTTCAATACATGTATACAGTGTGTGATGATCAAATCAGGGTAATTAGCATACTCATCATCACAAAAATTTATTTCTTTGCAATGAGAACATTTGATCCCCCTTCTGCTAGCCGTTTGAGAACATACAAAAAATTACTGTTAAGAATTTCCTATGCTTTCCAATAGTTAGTTTACCTACTAAATCCTACCATCATAATGTTTCAGTCTGTTCTGTTCTAAAGTATATGGCATAATTAATCGATTGTTACACTTTGCAAATTATTTCAGGATGAGTCCAATGTGTTGATATTTCCTGGGTTGGAGTCTGTCCAAAGAAACTTGAAAATCTATGAGAAGGCGGTAATAGTGAGGCATCTGGCTATACACTGTGTCTCAAGAAAACCTTGTCTTTAGGAAGGTAATGTGGCCCAATGTGCTGGCCCAAGTCACCAAGACATAGCCATTTCTGTGTCCCTCTGATCAGTTCATTTTAAGAAGCCCAAATTCTCCATTTCTGCTCTGCATCAGGAATTTGCAAAGAGCTCTTTCATGATAGTGCAAACACTAGCAAAAACAGCAACCACCAAAGGATCACCTTAAGAACTGGAGCAAAGATTCGATTGAATCAGACACTGGAAACAGTGTTTCTACTAATAACAGCATCAGATGGACAGAATGAAAGCTGGATAGTGTATCTAGGAGCAAGCCCTTCCGATTACTTTGATACCAGGCAAACACCTGTGTGCTGATTTATTACAGTACATGTCTACTAATTGAATAAGAGATAGATACATGAGGGAGACAAAGAAAGGAAGTGGTCCTCTCACCCCAGAATGAGGATACATGTGATTAAAAACTGGGGCACAATCAAAATATGTTTCAATCTGCCTGAGGATACTCAAAAAAGTCTAGCAGCCAAGCCTCTGCTCCAACCTCCTGCTGCCAAGACATAAAACTGTCACTGAAAAAGGGTGTTCTGGTAGCATCAGACATAGAGTGTCAACGTGCTAGACCATAACAACAAAAGACATCTGTTACAAACAATTTCATGGTTCTAGGGCACCTTTGAGCACAGGGGAGACTCTTTAAATGCAATCTTGTCTGAAGACAAGGGCCTGGATTATTTTCCAAGACCCACTTCTAACTCATATTCTAAAAAAAAGTATAGATATCCCCATGTGAATGGAGCACATAACTTAAAAGTCAGGAAGCAAATCCTTAGCAAGCTGAGATAGGGAATAAAGAAGCACCTCCTGTCACTGGGGAAAGGGGGTGAGGAGGCGGGAGGTACATGTGAACTGGTCACATGAAATCCAACCAGAAACAGCAGAGACGAGACACTTACTCCTAGTGAGTATGATGGCCTTGTGAACAAAATATGAATATGCTTAATACTATATCTCGTTTGCATTAGTCCCATGCAGCACATGCACATGCAGTGTTGCTCGCGGTCGTCCCGACTGTGAGGCAGGAAGTGCAGATGAGGACATGACTCAGGAAGGTGATGTGAATTGACCCAGGTCACCCAGCTGGGAAGTAGAAGAGCTTGAACTCAGACACACTCCTTACCATCTCCTTCCAGGCCTCTCTTATGCTAAATCTTGAGAGATAAGCAGAAATAGGAAAGAGGGCACCAGAGCTGTAAACTCTCTGAATGGTCATTTGGGAACCTCATATACAAAATAACACATATAAAAAGAAAAAAATAAAGTCCATCAGTGTAAAGCAGAAAAATCTAGGGGCAGAAGTTTTATATACAGGGATTTCAAAGTCCAGTGGGCTGATGGGAAGTACAGAGATATCTTGACCCTTATCAGATCATTGCTTGCCAAATAAAACCATGGCCAGATGACTGGCATGCATCGCAGAAAGCGAACACAATGGAGTGTTAAAAAAATTAAAATGCAATCTCATGCAATACTCATGTAAACAAAGCATTCTGTCACTGCTTAAAGTCTGTCAGGTGAAAAGCAGGGTGAGGCAGGCACACAGTTACTGCCAGGCCCAGACAGTGCCATGAGAAGGAACAGGACAAAGAAAAAGGAATCTGCATCATCCAACGAGTGCAAAAAAGACCTTCACATTCTGCTGATGTTCAACAGAACATCATACGATATTTTCACAGAACAAATATGACTTCCATTCTAATCCCCAAATGGCAAAGAATCTGAAAGGGGTGAGAACGCCCCCCACCCCTTCTTTTAACGCAGAGACATTAATATTCCTTTCTGCCTGAAATCTGAAAATCAGAGCCAACATGACATTCAGGACACAAAAAATTCTCAGTAAAAAGAGGGAGGGAGGAACTCACTAAAATCTGCAAATAACCAAGCATTTTCATTTGCTCTTACTGCATCCCACAAACGGATGAGAGAGGTAATGAGAAAGGCGATGATCATTCTGTTTTACCAAATGAAGCAATAAAAACACAGAGGATGAAGCCTTTCAACAACATTACATTGCTGATGAAAGACTGTTGATTTGGAAGGAGGAAGAGAAGAAGTGGATGGAAAAGTAATCAAAGAAGCAAAAAACATCTTGGTGAGAAGGTAGAGAGCTGAGTCATACAACAAATGCTGGAGCAGAGGTTACAATGGGGAGAAGGGGCTGGGTGGCAGCTTCAGTGGCACATGGGGCACGTGGGACTCTATATCACAGGAGACAGTGTCATGGGTACAGTGGCCCACTCATCCCTGGGGAGGATATTTTCAAATGTATATCCTGGCAGAGGATGCATGTGAAAAAAAAATGATAATTTTTTTATCTTCCTCTGGAGAGTTTAATTCAGGTTTTCTTATCAGCTGATAATTAAGATTCTGGAAAGCTAGAAATTGTGTTCATATCTGAAGTCTTGAAATGTATGTTTGGTTGTTTTGAGCCCCATCTACCACTCTAAGATAAGAAAAGAGATCCTGGAGAGTTTAATTCAGGTTTTCTTATCAGCTGATAATTAAGATTCTGGAAAGCTAGAAATTCTGTTCATATCTGAAGTCTTGAAATGTATGTTTGGTTGTTTTGAGCCCCATCTACCACTCTAAGATAAGAAAAGAGATCTATAAATAATGCTTTTGAAGAAAAGTAAGTACACTGCTGATGAGAAGCACTAAAACATCAAGAAGACAAGGATCCTCACATTCATTTTTATTCCCATCTTAAGCAGTGGGTGTTGAATCAAACCAAGATGATGAATCAAACCGAGGTAGATGATCATTTGTTCTTATTTGTACACCAGTTGCTCCAATCCCAAATTTAGGACCATCACTCCTTCTACCACTCAAATGTTTCATCTTCTAAAGTTTGATCACCCATTCTAAGACTTGGGAACTGTTTCATGAGTAGATGGATGGTTAGTTGGAAGCTGGATTTTGTTAACCACAACCAAGAAGAGAGGACTAAACATGAAATCCCCAAAGAATGTTCCCACGTACGTCTAGAAGTGCATGAAGCCAAGGAAGAGCACCAGCTGCTAGGAAGCCAGGGACCTTGGAAGATGTCACCCACCGGAGATGGCTCAGACTTATGGTGGCCAGGGAACCCCACATTGGGATTGCTTGATGACATAGCCATGTTGTCTGCACGCCCAACTGTGCTGTTTCTTTTACTGCTAGGAGCCTGGCCAGGAAGCATAGGGAAATGAGGAGGTCTCGAAAATGGTCTTGATGACATTTGCAAAGATCTGCCCCCAGGAATGCCATGACTTCGGAAAGCTCGGGGGCTGTGAACTAGTTCTGAATAGAGAGGATAAGCCAGGACATTTAGGGATGAGGACAAATGGCAAGTAGAATACAATGAAGCCAAAGTGGACAAGTTCAAATCAGAATGTGCTGGGTGGAGACTGAAAGAAGGAAGCCGACACTGCTCTACACTCTTCGCCCTTTTCTGGGTCATTTGTGTATGAGGGAGCTGTCTAGGGGAAAGAAGAAACTCTGGGATGCTTTGAAGGGAATCACTGTCCTCTCCAATGAGATCTGTAGGCATCCCTTTTCTAAACTCATGCTTGGGGCTGGGGACACTGAAGGCTGCATTGTCATGCATCAAGGAGAGGTCACTTAGTGATGCAGCACTTCTTAAAAGAGTCCAGGAACTTGTAAAGATGTATGAATTCATGCCCCTCGTGCCCTGACGCTCACGTGAGTCTCTAAGGCCCTCCTTAATTGCAGTAATGGAAAACTGGGGGCTGGCCACTTTGGAGATGTTGGGAGAGGACACACAAATGACCTTAGATCCTAATTCTTGAGTTGGCCTACATCCTTGGGAGCAAGATCGCTTTGGAGATCTCACTATGATCTTTGAGGCTTCCTGAGGTTTCCGTAGTTCTTCCAAACCAAGTCTAACAGGACAGGCTGGTCCATCTTCCTTCCGTGAGTGATGCTCAAACAGGAGTCTTGACTTAGAATCATTAATTCCTGCAGGTGCTATAGGCATTAGCTTTGTAGAGGCTTGTTTTTCAGCTTTTTGAACACCTGGCATGGTCAGGAGCTGTGAGTCTGGCTTAGCTGAGGATTTCAGGCTGGCATGGCTAGAAAATAGCTTAGGAGTGCAGAAAGGTGACACATCTCTGCCAGCCAGGAAGCAGCCAGGAAACACCGGCTGCTGTTTGACAGCATAGTGATTCAGCTTAGCTGGAAGGACAGGTGGATTATTAAGGGGTCGTTGCTGTACCTGGGAGTAGGATCACAAAATTGAATTATTGATCTAAGAGAAAGAGGCAACAGTTATAGACATAGGTAAATATGGATCATGTTTACAGACTATAAGGGAAAGTGATCAAAAATGTTCTTTACCTGAAATCAATGATTTTTTTTCTATAGACTTAGTTTTTTTAAGTTTTAAAAGAAAAAGTAATTTTCATTAAAATAGTACATGATCATTAAAAAGGGATTTAAATAATATATAAAAGTACAAAAAAATTGGAAGAAAAATCAATCTTTTGATTTCTACCTCCCATAAACCACCATCATTAACATTAGGACATCATTTCAAGCATTTTCTATATGTTTGTAAGGTAGAATATAAAAATAAAAAGATAGAACTATTTCTATAAAAATAGGAACTTACGTGAGATATCTGGTTCTGGTAATACTGTAGTCTAGAAAGCTTGAAAAGTGCTCTAACTATAAATACTTAAAGATGCTAGATAAAAATATAAAATAACCCAAAACATCCTTTTCAATGACTAGCTATGTTCACAAGAAAATAAGGGAAATCACTAGGTGTCACCAGTCACGATGGGACTGAGAAGCAGGGTGTGACGTCCCTGCGCTGACACCCTGACTCCCTGGAAGGGTGACTGATCTTGTCTGGAAGTTGTTATTCTGTTTGTTTGCTCTACCACTTGGTTATCACCCTTGTTTTCTGCTATCCCAACAGTTTTTAATTAGATTTTTAAAATATCTTATCAAAGAGCCAAGTTACTGAAAATCCTTCCTTAGTCTAGTAGTTCAAAAGTAGTGTTAGCAACAATGCTGGTAATTAGTAACAGGGTCCAGGTACGAACAGTAAATGATTATGCCTAGAATCCCATAAGTCCTCAATCACATTTCTCCAAGGAAAAGTCACTAATAGGAACTTACGTGAGATATCTGGTTCTGGTAATACTGTAGTCTAGAAAGCTTGAAAAGTGCTCTAACTATAAATACTTAAAGATGCTAGATAAAAATATAAAATAACCCAAAACATCCTTTTCAATGACTAGCTATGTTCACAAGAAAATAAGAGAAATCACTAGGTGTCACCAGTCACGATGGGACTGAGAAGCAGGGTGTGACGTCCCTGCGCTGACACCCTGACTCCCTGGAAGGGTGACTGATCTTGTCTGGAAGTTGTTATTCTGTTTGTTTGCTCTACCACTTGGTTATCACCCTTGTTTTCTGCTATCCCAACAGTTTTTAATTAGATTTTTAAAATATCTTATCAAAGAGCCAAGTTACTGAAAATCCTTCCTTAGTCTAGTAGTTCAAAAGTAGTGTTAGCAACAATGCTGGTAATTAGTAACAGGGTCCAGATATGAACAGTAAATGATTATGCCTAGAATCCCATAAGTCCTCAATCACATTCCTCCAAGGAAAAGTCACCACAGACAGCAGAGTTATTTGCATGGGCCCTAAGAAGCAGCTCTCCTTCACTCCTCCTTAATGTGAATTGTTTTGCATATAGCAGGGGAGCTTCTGGAATCAGATAGACATGTGTTCAAATCTCAGCTGAGCCACTGTTGACTTTGGACAATTACTAAATCTCTCTGAGCCTCAGTTTCCTCATCTAATGGGCATAATGATAGTACCTCACAATACTAAGGTTCTTGAGATGTTTAAATGGCATAATATATATAAAGCATTACATTATTGTCTCAAGGGCTGCTTTCTTTCAGGGGAAACGAACTTAAGCTAGGTCCCTAAAACCTTACTTATCTAATCTGTCTGTCCTCAGGCTTTTTTCAGATATTCATTCATTCATTCATCCATTCATTCATTCCACAAGTGGGCATACTGTAAATGGTCAATAAATATTGAGGATAAGGACTAATTTTGTTCTTTTCTGTGTTCCTAGTTCCCAGTTAGCAAAGGGGCTAAAATCATGTCTCCAGAAAATGTTGGTTGGTGAAGGAAGGAAGGAACTACTTTTTTAAAATTTATTTATGACTATCCATGAGATACAAAGCTGATTGTCACCCCTCATGCCCATGATGTGAGGGCCAGATTCATACTGGCAGCATACCCATTACCAGAAATTACTTTTGTACCCTGTGTCCCCACCCAATTATCCCCCAACCTCCCTCCCCCCCTCACTCCACTTTGTAGCCCAAGGAGTGTTCCCTCCCTCTGTGAGACCAACGCACTACTGTGGTCTTTCTTTCCTTCCTTCTTTCTCTCTTAGCTCCCACTTATGAGTGAGCACATGTGGTATTTATCCCTCTGTGCTTTGCTTATTTCACTCAACATAAGTTTCTCCAGGCTCATCCATGTTGTTGCAAATGGAAGTATTTCATTCTTTTTTGTGGCAGAGTAGTATTCCATGGTGTATACATATCTCACAGTTTCGTTATCCAATCATCCATTGACGGACATTTAGGTTGGTTCCATGTCTTGGAGGTATCCTGCCCTGACTTCTTGAATCCAGCCTTGGCCATGGTGGGTGGAGCTCTCTAAGGAGAGGCAGTTGAACAAAAAGTTCAGTTAAAAAAAGATACACCAAGAAGCCCATTTGGAGAGCAGTGCAATAATAATAAAAAAGTATTTCAAGTGGAAGCCGCATGAGCAGGAAACACAAAATGTTCCCATCGTCAGGGTAAAACTAATAGTCTGAAAATGAAATATGACTGCAGAGCTGAGTGGGTTCTTAAAGAAGAGGTGCATTTTGCTGTGATTGTATTCCAGCATGTTGCAAATAGCCTTAAAATTACTCTGCAATAAACACAGTGGGTTTCAAAAGTGGTCTGAACTCATACTAAGGCTGGATTCATGTTAAAGTTTCACAAGTACACAGAGTTAATCAAGAATGCATAACAATTGTATTAAACGTATTAAGACTCAGCAAGTTGGGTCAGGAAATGTCCTAAGTTTCTATGAGATATCTGAGGTTCACGAGGCTTAGAGGATCTTCTCTTCCAGACTGGCACGTTTGGAGGACACACACACACACACACACACACACACACACACGAGATGAACACAGAGCAGGTCAGCTGGCTGTTGGCTTTCCCATTACCAGAAGTAGAGCTTGTTCATGCAGTAGCTGCTGCTGCAAGATCTCTAACTGTCTCTGCTCCTCCTCTAACTGTCGCCTGATGTACTCCTGCAGAGGTAGGCAGCAGAGAATTCAGAGAAAGAGAAAGAGAGAGAAAAAGAACCAGTAATTCCAAAGGTGACAAGAGCTGCCAAGTAAAGTGTAGAAGGAAGGAGGAGAAAAAATACCCAGATACCTCCTCACAAAACAGGAAGAGCATGCCACACCAAAGCAAAAGCATTTCAAGTAGTCAAAAGCACAAGCCCTCTACCTGCCAACTGCTGGCAGCATTTTACCATTACTACTTGGTTTTAATAAACCCAGCTACATTTTAAAGTGTTCCATTACAGCTTCCTCTCTTTATGGACTACCTGGAATTAATAATGCCATAAAGTTCAGAGGCTCCTGTGCAAGCAGCAGGGAAAAAACAATTGTTAAATGCCACCGTGCACTGTCTTTGTAATGGAACTGTCCTGCAGAGTTCCACAGTGCTGCCAGAATGTGATTCTAGCCAAAAGAGGAGAGCCCGCATCAGTGACTCAAAGCCACAGAGACCAGAGACGGCATGAGTAGAAAAGCTCTTCTGAAGCAATGAAAGAGTAGGACTTGCTTCAGTGCTACCTTCAAAACAGACACACACGGGTGGGAGAATCAGATCTAGGGATGTCAGGGGACTCTGGCCTGGGTAGGAAGCAAGGTTGAACGAGTGGGCATTGCCAAGCTTGTGCATTTGACTTTTTGAATAGGTTGAGAACAGTTGCTTGATTAAGGATAAAAACCCGCTTCAGCTGAGTAGTGCTAAGAGAAGGTGCCCCACACCCCAGAGACGCCCGGGGCTGGAGTGAGTTCACGCCGGGCCGTCGCTGGCCTCCCCGACCCCGGTGGTACCTGCTCGTGCTCCGCGCGCCTCCTCTCCTCCTCCCGGCGCATCTGCTCTTCGTAGTGCCGCCGCTGCTCCCTCTCCTGCTGCTTCCGCAGCTCCTTCTCTCGCCTTTGTTGCTGTGGGGCAGCAAGCAGACAACCGTGAAGGCAACGGGCACTGGCGCGGGTGTCTGGAAGCTAGCAGCAGAGCTAACTTCGGACGCGAGCTCTTAACTAGAGATGCCCAAGCGCTCAAGGCTCTTTCTCTCCTGGGCTGTTGGGGGGCACGCTGGCAGGAAGGGGTGACAGAGATTCAGTGTCACTCAGAGCACCCTGCCTTTTACCGCTAACTGGACTCTCACCGAGACGTTCCTGTTAAGCACGTCTTTGCAGTGACTGGTGGGGTTTTCAAACCAGGGGTAGGTAACACCAATGCAAAATACGTTACTTATTACATATCATCAAACTGCTTATGAGGTTACTTCATAACGCTTATGTCATTCAGTCTTTCTGACACCATGTAGCGCAAACATTTCCTAGATAGAGAACCCAAAAGTAAGAGAAGTGAAGTGACATACTCGATGCCATACAGAAGTTAATGGCTGAGGGTACAAAAGAATTTATGGACTCCCGCCCAGTGCCTACCCTCCCTCGTATACCGTGACGCCTCTCTATATTTGCTCGGGTATTCATGTTAAGTGTCAATTTCAACTTCTCACTCAAATAGGATCCTTGTGCTCAGGAACCATCATCATCATCATCACCATCACGGTCATCTCCATCATATGTCCGACAGTGGACAGTGTGGTGAGCACTCTACATGCTGTACCTTATTTAACCTCCACAAAAATCTGAAGTAAATAGTATTATTATCCCCATTTCATATG